GAGGGGGGTCCTTTGATGTGGGCAGTTGTGTGGGGGGGCAGGCTCCTGCTGAGGTGGGGGTGGGGATGCAGGTGGGCAGGGGCTGGTGGTAGTGGGGGATGGTGTTGGTGTTAGGACTGTCCCACTGTCTTTCGAATCTGCAGTAGAAGTCGTTCAGCTCGTTTGCCAGACGCAGGTCGTTGACAGAGTGGGGGGGGTTAGGTTTTTTGTAGTTGGTGATCTGTCTGAGCCCCTTCCAGACAGATGCAGAGTCGTTGGCTGAGAGCTGTTGTTTGAGATTCTCAGCGTACAGTCGTTTAGCGTCCCTCACCGCCTTACTAAACCTGTACTTTGACTCCTTATACCTGTCCCTGTCCCCGCTCCTAAATGCCTCTTCCTTCTGCAGCCTCAGCTGTCTGAGTTTAGGACTGAACCAGGGTTTGACGTTGTTGTAGCTCACCCTGGTGCGGGATGGTATGCAGCAGTCCTCACAGAAACTGATATATGAAGTCACAGTCTCTGTGTACTCATCCATACTGGTGGTGGCAGTCCTGAAAACATCCCAGTCAGTAGTCTCCAAACACGCCTGAAGATCCTCCACAGCCTCACTGCTCCACTGCTTTGATGTCCCCACAGCCGGTTTACAGAGTTTGAGTTTCTGTCTGTATGCAGGAATCAGATGGGCCTCCCTCGAGTTTGCCCACGGTGACTACAGGACATCTTTCTACAGATACAGGAGTTGGATGGATGGTTTTGTTGTCTCTCTTTCCTTTTTTTTCTCTCCTCTCTTCCTGTTTTAGGAATCTCTTTCTTTTTTCCCCTTTCCTGTCCCCCGGTCATGGTTGGCATTAGCCATATTACTTATGTAACAAAAATAAATCCTAAATATATAATAAAGCAGTATGGGATGATCAAGGGAGGGTTCTCCCCCTGACAGGCTCCCTTGGCAAAGCAAAAGTGTCGGGCACAGCACGGCACTCAGATTACAATTCTGTTGCTATAATGCCAAACATGACAAGGGAAAAAAATAAAATAAATAAATAAATAAATAAATAAATAAATAAATAAATAAATAAATAAAGGAATCAGATGGACCATGACGTGGTCAGAGTGGCCCAGTGCAGCGCGGGGGACGGTGTGATAAGCGTTGCTGATAGTGGTGTAACAGTGATCCAGAATATTCTCCTTTCTGGTCGGACATTTTATAAGTTGTCTTATAAAATATATATTTACATATATATGTATATATATATATATATATATATATATATATGTACACATGTTTTTGTGTATTGTTGTGGATTTTTTTATCTATGAGGAATGAGGAAATGTTACACTCTAAAACTTCCCTGAACCAAGGGCACAATAAAGTTCATGTGTCTGACCAACATACCAGCTAGGGACATTTGGCAACACAAATCTAGTCAAAAGCACATGCCCAATGGTGGCCATCTGTTTCGCTCACCCTGCTGAACAACCTAACCAGCCAGCAGTCCTTCAGACCAAATACTTTATGGTTCAGACATTTAACAGTAACACAGGAAAAATACCAGCAAACTCAGCATATATCCATCCATTTTCCACCGCTTATCCGGGGTCGGGTCGCAGGGGCGGCAGCTAAAGCAGAGAAACCCAGACTTCCCACATAGTCCCTCCAGCGTGTCCTGGGTCTTCCTCTGGGTCTCCTCCCGGTGGGACGTGCCTGGAACACCTCACAAGGGAGGCGACCAGGAGGCATCCTAATCAGATGCCCGTGCCACCTCAACTGGCGGCGCAGCGGTTCTACTCTGAGCCCCTCCCGGATGTCCAAGCTTCTCATTCTATCTCTAAGGGAGAGCCCAGCCACCCTGCAGAGGAATCTAATTTCGGCCGCTTGTATCCGCAATCTCGTTCTTTCGGCACCAACCAAACTGATTTGGAACCTCGAGGAAGCTTTCTCTGATATGTGTAAAATGGCGTTGAAAGAGAATACATGGAAGCAGTTTGAGTCTTACTGTGCCCTTTCTGTGATCTAAAGTGGCATTACTGGAAACAGTTAAACCCTGCTGAGTTGATACCAAACAGACAGAAAGGGCACACATAAAGATTCATCTAAGAAAACTAACCAGACAATGTTCAGACAGCACAAAACAATGTTTCAGTTGAACTCCAGTTTCTGTTTTACACATCAGTGGAACTGAAAAGCATTCTTTGCTGGCATACCTTGGCTGCTGCTCTGTCTGACAAGTTTTTTTCTTTTGTTTCTCGTCCTGTCCCTAACCTTATCAGATATAAACGTCAAAGCAAACCAATGGTGATCGTCAAGATGTACAGGAACCGACAGAAAAGCATTTGGCAGGTTGAGCAAAGAAAATATATCTTTTTGAAGGACAGAAAAGACTGAAAAGTATAGTTTTCTTTGTCATTCTAAAAAGCAATTGCATTGGCAACCACAGTTTCAGTGGAACGTTTCAGAGGTCAAGTTAGTCTACTCCTATTCTTTTAACAAATATGGAGATGACCCAAACTATGAGTGGAGGCTCTACTCCTGAGCTCTCTGCAAACTCTGCCAGAACCATCTGGAGCAAAAATGTTCAGGATTCACTCATGAATCTACTTCTGCTCATAGTCTGCATTTTCATAAATTCAAAATTATGGCATATTCATGGCTTGGTGCAACTGAGTTTTGTTACTTTGTACTTGTGCAATGACAATAAAGTTTAAATCTATACTATTTTTACCCATATCACTTATGGGTAGAGTTGCTACCATTAAAATGTTGGTGCTACCCAATATATATTACTTCTTCTCAATGATCCCCATAAAATCATCTAGATTCATGTATTTCCAAGTTTTTGTGGAAAGGCAAACCTCCACAAAAAACTCTCCAAAAGACCAGAGACAGTGGAGGATTAGATTTACCTAACTTTCATCACCACTCTCTAGCCAATAGGGTTATTTAGATACTAAAATGGCAAAAATCCAAACCCCAAGATGAACCATGGCTGAATGTTGAACATGCACTTTGTGAAAATCTGGAAATCTCTGATCTACCATTTATCAGTCAAGATTTAAAGCATCATCAATGCTTTAAAAGTATCAACGTCAGTCAGCACTTCTTTGACAGCCTGGTGTGAATTCCTGAAAATCACATAGTCCTCCTTCTTACCGTGTCAACACTATGTGTCTACCTTCCTCAAAGTGGGAAGCAGATCTATCCCTCACCACTGATGGTAATTTTTGGCCACAAATGTGTTTGAACATCTTTAGTATGACTACAGATCCTAATTTACAGCTTATACAATATAAAATCCTCCATAGAACTCATTATACAGGACAAAGGATGTTTAGGATGGGTCTCACACCTTTAAATATCTGCAAACATTGCACAGACAATACAGCAGATGATTATGCACATGCTGTATGGCTGTTCACAAGTTCTGATTGGAGGTCTGCAAGGAACTGTCAATATGGTTGAAGTGTAGTATTCCTGCACGTCCCACACTCTGCATACTTAGTGATCTAAATTACATCAACATAGAAGGGAAGTCAGCTCACATGGTCCTCACGGTTTTATGCATTGGAAAGAAACGTATACTCATGAAATGGAAAGCAAAAGATAAACTTAGTATTAATCAGTTTAGAAATCTTCTTTTAGACTATATTAGCTTGGTATTAATGTCTGCCTCCTCCAAACAGCAACGAGCTGAATTGAATTCTCTCTGGTCCCCAATGATGATTGTGGCTTAGAGGGGGTGTCTCAGATGTCTTAG